AGAGTTTAGCATCAAAATCTTCAACCAGAATAACTGCTATTTGGCTAGTAATTTCATCTGGAATAGTGTGAACTCCATTTGAAAAAAGCTGGCCGGCCTGTCATAAATTTATTGAATATTTTAAAAATCCCTAGATAAGTAAATCATAAATTAAAATGTGACCGACTGGGCTCCTTGATGAGATACTGTTACCTTAGTCTAAGCCTTCAATTATATTGCAGCCTCATTGTTATGTATTTAAGGTTCGTATTAGACAATATAACATTTATGTTTACCCAGAAAGGTGTTCTAACAGCTAAAACTAGCTACTACTTTTTTCAAGGCCTGACTGCGTCGCTAACATGCTAAATATAAGAGTTAGCTGACGTTTGGGAGTCTGACTTACCTTCTAAAGGTTAGAACCCGAATCTTAATGAAACCATATCACCTTTGTTGCGTCGATGATGATGCATAAACATAGCATTTGATAGAAATTAGCGTAAATGCTTTTCCGACTTTTTCATTTTTCATCAATGTTGACTTCCGGGAAGGCGTTGTAGTTATCACGAAATAACGCATTGACCCTTGAACTTTACTTTGTTGACGTGTCAACCAAGCATGTCTGGTGTGAAAATTAAAAGAATATTAAGCAATGTTCTACATCCGCCAAGCTAAGTGAAGTAGTCAATATTTAAAATTACCAATTTCAAGTGAAGTACGCAACGAACGAAACTGCGTGATCTACACTCCCACTATTGGTCTGAATGAAATGCTACGTAGAAATATGAGCCGTCTGCTGTATTAGTCGATTAATAGAGTAAGACCTGTTGGTGATGCTTTATAATTTAGACCAAAACATTGAAGAACAAACGAACCTGTAAATCGTGAAAACAATGAACAAATATTCGGTTTTCACATATGTTCGGTAATTCAGGGCATGCATTAACGGCGTCCCGTACATGTTATGGACTCAAAAATAATTTGGAGGACGCAAAAATTGAAAATATTTCCGTTTTTTGGACGCAAATTTTTTTTAGGTCAATACTACAATGTGTTTATAACGATACCTAACAAAAATAAATAATTATGATCTCTCACCTTTATTTGAATCGTAAATAAGGCTCAACATGTTGAATATTTAAAAATAATCATGATTCTCTCGAATTTTTTCGACTTTGTTTATTTTTAGATTTGAAACCATGACACGCCACAGTTTTTCCTATTCAGAAACAAATATGAGGTTATTCATGAAATAAAGTGTATTCATTGTCGATTGAACGAACATGCATTTATTCAGTCCGTACTTAACGTTTACTTCCGTTTTGAATTCGCGGCAAGAAATCAAAAACTGAAAAATAAGGGACACACTTTTTTTTCAAAGGACACACTTTTTAAAAAAAATTGCGTCCTTGGGACTCACAAATTTTCTAACCTAATGCAAGCGCTGGTAATTTTTCGTATTGAAACTTCCGGAACTTACAAGGAAATCATTCATTTTCTCGATCCATGATTTACCTCTTGGATGTTGTGGCAAATGCTCCATGGTTGACAGAACAAAGGTAATATGGTTTCATTAAGATTCGGGTTCTGACCTTTAGAAGGTAAGTCAGACTCCCAAACGTCAGCTAACTCTTATATTTAGCATGTTAGCGACGCAGTCAGGCCTTGAAAAAAGTAGTAACTTCTTACCTCTAAGAGATTGTTCAAAACCTCTTACTGTAAAGAACCTGTCTACAGCGCCATCTTTTAAACCAAGGAAGCCATGTTAATTGTTTCTCAAACTGTTGAGTATGAAACTCCCGACTTTGCAATCACAAAAGAGAAAATAGCCAACTGCTTCAAAAGAAACTTCACTTCTAGCCAAATGACCACGTGGGGATAGTAAAATCATATGATGCAATCCGTAATGGTGGGTGAATGCTGATTACCCTTAATTATATTGTATCTTTGGTTTATCTGCCTATATTAGAGTTTCAAAAATAAGTTTACCTGGTAAATAATCGATAATCAACTTTCTATGTAGTTTAATAAATGTCATCATTACTAAATTTCCCAGAAGACAAAAATGTTCAATTGATGATTCTACAATGAGAATGCTACTGATGATTCAGTGAAACTTGCTAGGACAAACTAAAAGTTTAAATCCTGTATAAGTTTCAGAACCTTTCCAGCAATCATGATGTCTTTTAACTGTATAATTATATGTAAATGTCTTGTAATTGATTTTGTGAGGAAACCAAGTGTTTGGTTTGAAACACAATAAAATCTTGAATCTTGAATCTTGTTAATATAATATCTTACTTGAATCATATGTCTCCTTAGAACAGTCACAAAATTATATTTGAACGACTTGGTGTATACTATTTAACTAATTTTGATTAAATGTGAGTAATAATAACATATAGTTGACTAGACTAATTTCTAAATTTCGCCCTTAGAAATTTATTGCCACAAAACTTGGCATACAAGAAAAATGTAGAAGTCACTGGTTTTGGGGCACAGTAAAGGCAACGAATACTGTAATAAATAGGTGAATCTTGCCAACTAATGAAAGTAAGAAAAAATAAAATGAATGGGGACAGTTCAACCAACCAAGGTAAAATTGTTAAAATGCGTTACTAGGCAACAAAGTTCACAAGCGACTGGCAAAAATAGTAAATTAAACTCTACTTTAAGATCTAACTATGTTTCTCTATATAATGAAATATGGGGCTTTGATGCTCCCATAATAATGGCTACCTATTTCAAGAATATATATGACATGTACACGAGGCACACATGGTTTGACTCCATGTGGCCTTCCTCCATTTACCAAAACAACTACCAAAAATAAGTTATCCCTATCTAATTATCAAGAAGTGTAAAAAGCCTAAAAATATAACATGGGGGACAAATAACAATAAACACCAAATTTTGTCCACGATGGATGGAATTAAAGTTCCACGTGGTAGCATGGTTTATCTCCATGTCTCTAGTAAAATTGATATGCCTTGGTCATGGTTCGACTCCATGATTATAGCAAATCTTAAATGGTCATGGTTTATGTCCATGACAAAGGTACCTCTCCAAGTCAAAGTTAAATTAATAGTATAAACATGATGAATTTTAAAATTACTAATAAAACAGCCAATGTGATCGATGGAATTCAATTACACGTGGTTATCTACGCACGTGGCATCATGGTTTATCTCCATGGCTATGATGAAATTCCGTTGCATTGGTCATGGTTTATCTCCATGAATTGTTCTTGTGGGTCGATATGAACGCACTATACTACTCTCGCATTTAAATCTCATAATAAATACTGGAGTAATAAATTGGGACCAACAATTAATTGACGCTGGGTATTTTTAAAGATATTCCTTGAAAATATACTAGGCCTAACCAAGAAATTATTAAATGATTACCGCCAAAATGGCCGCCACGCAACCCACGTGGAATAAATCCTGTTCAATTAATAAGGTTGAAGATATCATAATTAAGCTAAAATTGTCAAATTTATCAGAGATCACGGTAGACGTTCGCCATTCGCCAATTGCGAATTTTCGAAAGAGGTGGCGAAAAATATGTAAAGGTATTTCGCAGTTATGGCGAATTAGAGGTGTAACGGTTTCCCGATATTGGACCGAATTTCGGTCCAGATGCTTCGGTTCGGGACATGGGACAGAAAGGGTTAATATCGGTACATAGATTCCTTCCCTAAAATGCATAAAAACGTGTATAAATAGCGAGGAACACCTCCGATTTTGTTCTGAAAAATTCAATATTTTCACTTACCTCGTACCTAGATTACACTTCTTTGCATTGAAAAGTGTTATTAACGGATCCGCGATTTCAGGTAGATGGTAATGCTTGTTCGTAAATTTCTTCATTGTCGTTCGCAAATCGAGTGCATAATCAGTATGCCGGATGTAGGAAAGAAATTGAAAAAATCGAGCCGGCATCTAAATCGAAAAAGTCGGCAGTTTGAAAGTATTTTGGGACTCCGATATCACAAGGTAAACGAATTGGTGATATTACATCGGTGCAGACTATGTGAAATGCCGATCACATTCGCGGCAGATGCTTTACATTCAATTTTAATTGAGGTTTTTTTATTTCTGAATATGATTTTGAAAAGTAAAACTGAAAGTGAAACTGTCATCATCAGACATTGCATCATTTTTAATGTTCTGTCCCGTCCCATCCCGAAAGTAACGTGTTGAGACCATTTGTACCGTTCCGTACCGTACCGAAATTTTCTTGGACCGTGACACCTCAATTGCGAATTCCCCTTTTACGGTTTTTCAAAATGGCTAATTCATATTTTGGTTGGCTAAAAAATTTGTGGAAGATTTAGCCACAATGGCTAACAAATTTTTTCAACTATTGTGATCTCTGAATATATCAAACTATAAACACTGTCAGTGGCCAAATATAAACTAGCCTAGAACGTTGATATTTTAATTTTGAACAATGGCACACGTGTAACATCATGCATGGATAATCTTAAAAATAGTTATTCTTACTTCAAAAGCTTTGCCTAAAGTGTGCTGCACATACACATATTGCATTTTTATTCATAACATGGAACTGTAACCACAAAATTGTGTGCAACAGTAAATATATCAATCTTTAAAAAATCTTAATCAATTAGCGTGAATTAAAGTTCAAACACAAAAGTTAACAAATTGAAGGAAAAAATAAGGCAAAAATTGCTACCTGAGTTTTCCTTTCTTTCCGTTTGTCCATGTTGTCTTTAACGATGGACTACTTCCACGAATAAAAGGTTATGTGTAAAATAAATTGCCAAACTATCAGGAGATATTTAAAAGAGCTGCACATTTCTAGAGCCTGCAAGCAGAACGAATTGGTAACCTTGAACCAATTCTAATTTAAAAACTTACGTGGCTAACCTTGCATGGACTGTACATAAAACCCAAAAAAGGTTACAAAATCTATAAAAACATTATACAATATGTTCAAAATACATATAAAAACAATTAAGGCATCATAGAGATGAAAAACATAAAAATATAAAATGGTGTTCAAGAGTAGTATGCAACTTCCGGTATGGCCGCCATGGCACAGAAAAGTTTCAAAATTATTTCAATATCTGTAACTGGCGATAATAAATCAACAAGGACATAGAAACATTCATAATATATATAACATACAATCGGAAGTTAAGACAATACGTCTCTGAGAATTCCAACAAATGTAAACAGCTATAAGGTGAGAAAAATTTAGAATAACCAAAATAATTTCTGAGATAAAATTGCTTGATTTTTACAATATCCCCCCTTAAATTTATGTTTGTCCCAAACATTGATTAATTGAAAGTTGTATGTTGTATAATGCCTATGTTACATGTTCGTGTAGAAGTTCATATAAATCCAAAAGTAAAATAGTCCTTTAGTAAGTAAAACAATGTCATTTTTCCCCTGTTGGCCACATTCTGGCGATCACATCAGCAAGGGTCTCCTTGGTAACAACTAGCTTAATCCCGGATCCTTCTCCTTTTGTGGTTGGTGGCTTGGAGGACAGCTTCGATAACTCGGTCTTGGACTTGGCTTGTTCTTTTGTCTTGGAGGCAGAGGGAGTTATGTGTGCCACAGCAGTCTGGGTTATCCTGGTGGTACTAATAACGGCTGGCTTCTCAAGGGTTTGGCAGGCTGAGTGGGTCATTGAGGTCATAGCAGTCTGGGATCCTTTGGTCACTGGCTTTCTAAGGGGCAGCACAGTGACTGCCTTTGTCTGGCAGGCGGAGTTGGTCATGGGTGCCACAGCAGTCTGGGTTTCACTGGTGGTTGTTATAAGTGCTGGCTTTTTAAGGGTTTGGCAGGCTGAGTGGGTCATTGAGGTCACAGCAGTCTGGGATCCTTTGGTCACTGGCTTTCTAAGGGGCAGCACAGTGACTGCCTTTGTCTGGCAGGTGGAGTTGGTCATGTGTTCCACAGACGTCTTGACTTCCATACCAGTTCTTTCTGTTTGGGCTTGTTGGTTAGGCCTCTCCATCCCCAATGAGATGACAGGGGCTGTCCCAATCTCTTTCTGCAGCTCAACTTCTTTTTCTTTAAGTTTGCGTGCTAACCTTCTAGCTTTGAGCCTCATGATTTGTTCTTTTAGCTTGTCCCCAAAGACTGTTTCAGCCAAGTTAAAATCCTTTCCTTTCTTTCCTTTGGTTGCCATCTTGGTCCTTTTTAGGGAGACGACCATAAAGCAGGCTCCTTTCACTTTCTCAGTTGCACAAGTTTTTGACGGCCTCTCTGGAAAAAATTCTACAACCCAAATCTAACAGGTTTTACGCTTTATCAAGGGTTTGTACATATTCCTGATTAGCTGGTGAGTAGAACGACCCCCTTTCAAGCCACATAAAATATTCTATTGTGCATAGAATTCATTAAAGTTTAGATGAACTACTTTATATTTTCCCTTAAAAGTTCTTTCATCGCTTAACTTATATTAACTTCATGTGTGGCTGTAAGGAGTCGCTCAATTACTTAAAACACAATTGTTTACCATTCTGATGATAGCATTGCATTTCTCCGTTTGACGCGTGAGAAACAGTTTTTATCCAGCGTCGCCTTTTTGTCATTGGCGTAATCCATCTGTATAGTAGCGCCCCTATTACTATATGGCCATTAAAATTTTAGCAGATGCTTCAAATCTTGAACAATATTGAGGATATTTTCAGCTATTTCTTGAGCCACAATAAGTGAATCTGCTTGAAGGTTACGAGAACGCGAGGAAGCATCATTGCCTCCAATCTGAAGAAACATCACCTCGTACCTGTCCTTTGGAATCAACTTAGTCATCTCCTGAATCTGAAGTGTATCACTTCCCGGTTTAAACGTATAATGCAATTTAAGTCCTTGACCTGAAATGCGTAAAGGGTGTTCCGTCAGGTACTCCTTCAAGGACCTGACAAAGCTATGTCCTAGTAATAGACACAAGAGTCCTCATATAGACACTCTATAAAATATATAATTATGTCAAATGTCAATAGGATATTTTAGTGAATTATTATTTTGTAAAAATGTATTAGTAAATAACTTTTTTAACTTCTGTACAAGAACAACTGAGCAGACTCAAGTCATGGTGTAAATAGACTAGGCTGGTCTCAGTCGAAAAAAGAGAAATTTTGGGGAATTTTCTTTTGTCAAAATTTTCATACACATCAAGTACTTACTTACTCTCTAAGGGAAAACTAGCCCCTAAAACTACCCATCAAAAGGAAAAGAGAATAAAGTGACTTACCAACTCGGGGTTTACAATGTAAACACACTTTAAACACACTTTCAATATCTCACGTGTAGTCTAGCAAAGATGGCGGAATAGGAGAACGATACCTCTCGTCTTCTCTCGGGAAGTACTTCCGGTTCTTAATTTGTTCTGAAATTGCTCAAAATAGTGTTAGTCGGACGTGTCCAGCAGTCCTCTTTAAGGACTCGAATCTCTATTACCGTAAGTAAATGAGTACTCTTCCTGTTGACCTAGAAATGGCGATGTTTCGAAAAATATTTCTCAATTCAACAATTTAAACAGTGTTTAAGTCGTTTTTAGTGAACAAATCGTACAAAATGACGGCCAAATACGATCACAACGAAAATGTGGAGGAAATGGATTGCGATTTCGAGCTCTTTAGGCTCTTGGAAGCCGATAATGGTCATCGAAAATAGAAACTAGAATATTTTCTGAACTGAAAAGAAGAACATTCGATCGCTGCAAATTCAGTTTTGGATTCTGACCAGACGTTGAATCTCCCGAGGGGTGAAACGGCGGATTCCGAAGGAGTATTCATGGTATATTTATGCCCAATCGTGTTTATGTACGAAAAAAATCATGAGAACATTTTTCTCATGAGCCACGCTAGTGTATCTTCCCTTTGTGAAAATTTTATCCAGATTCATTCAGTAGTTATTGAGATATTATTAATTATTTAGTCCAGGCATATCATTTTTGAAAAATAAGTCAGATGCGTGGGATATATTTGCTGAAATAAGTCAGAGTGCAGAAGGTTAAGGCCTTATAAATCATTATATAGTGCTATATAATTTATTATCCCATCGAACGAAGTTCGGAGGGATATAGGGAACGCCTCCGTCCGTCCGTCCGTACGTACGTCCGTCCGTCCGTACGTCCGTCCGTCCGTCCGTCCGTCCGTCCGTACGTCCGTCCGTCCGTCCGTCCGTACGTACGTCCGTCCGTCCGGGCAATAACTCAAATACAGTTGGCCCGATTTTGTTCATATTTTATACACATACACCCTATGGGGGTAGAAGTTCTGCTCGAATGCCGATTTTCAAAATGGGCGCTCATTTCAAAATGGCGGCCATTTTAGTGCCGAATTTACAGTAATTTAGGTGCAATATGTAAAACTGTAATAGCAATATGTTTGAGATGTAAAAAAATTATATAGGACATTAATAAAGCTAGAAATGTAGATATTAAAGAAGCACATGGCAGCCATCTTGAAAAATGGCGGCCTTTACTCATTATTTTACGATTTTTGCTGTAACTTGAGAAGTAGTGGAGCGATTTTGTTCATATTTGGTATGTGAATACTATAAACATTGCACACTGCTTAAAGACACTTTTGGTAGAAGGCGGCCATTTTGAAAAATGGCCGCCATTTTGAAAAATGGCCACCATTTTAACGTATTTTACTATAACTCGAAAAGTAGTGGAGCGATTTTGTTCATATTTGGTATGTGAATACTATAAGCATGACACACTGTCCTATGACACTTTTGGTAGAAGGCGGCCATTTTGAAAAAAATTTTGAAAAATGGCCGCCATTTTAACGTATTTTACTATAACTCGAAAAGTAGTAAACCGATTTTGTTCATATTTGGTATGTGAATACTATAAGCACGGCACACTGTCTAATGGCACTTTTGGTAGAAGGTGGCCATTTTGAAAAATGGCCGCCATTTTAACGTATTTTACTATAACTTGAAAAGTAGTAGAGCGATTTTGTTCATATTTGGTATGTGAATACTATAAGCATGGCACATGGTCCAATGACACTTTTGGTAGAAGGCGTCCATTTTGAAAAATGGCTGCCATTTTTGCTATATACTTTGTTTGTAAAAATGCCATCCATATCTGTTCGATGGGATTCGCTACGCTTTGGCGTTGCCGTTGTTCTGGTTTTATTCTCAGAGATTTAAGGTCAGCACACTAGTGACGTCATCATCACCTGCTAAGGTCATGTTAACTCCTTTAGTACTACATAGCTGTACACAGCTTAACACTTAATAGGCTAGTATACATAACAATCCTCCCAAATAGTTTAAAAGTGGATGAAAACTGTTAAAATATTATCAAAGTCATTTTAGTTTATGTTCTCACATGAGCTGTTTTAATAAAATTTAGTTCAAAAGATAGATGTCATCGTCTGCAAATCATTGTAAATTTACAAGTATTTTTGAACTTATTCCAAGAGGCACTTTTATACATGAGGTATGCATGCAATATACTGTTAATACATAAAATTAAATATCTCCTAAAAACTACAGTGTACATTTACTAATAGTATGTAGATGTCTTTGTTTATACAAAGATCACTTCCTGACATTCAATGACAAACTTGATTATTTAACAAATCATTTTACATGAAAGTTAAATCCATTTTGAAGTGTCTAGAAATCACAATATCATGAGCATGTAAAAATCATATTTTTAAAGTTCACAAGTTACATCCAGTGACAAGAGTAAAAATGCATGTTTAATAATTTAACATCATTTTACTTTAAGAGTCTTCGTAATTCTTGTTGGGTATCTTTTCTGAAAAGCAGAGTAGTATCTCCAATTTTACTCTTTGATTGAGCTGCTTGAGATTTTGTCACTGATTGAGGTTTTGTCCCTGCTGGAGATTGTGATATGTCTTGTTGTATTTGTTGGGGAATTTCCACGTTTTATGGAGATGTCATTGTTGGTTTACTTGGTGTTGGTAATATTGGTGGATCATTTGAGACTAAAGGGGTACCGTTGCGGTTTCAGCAATAGTCGACGGACTGTAATTCCATCCAGGGCGTAATTGTTGTGCATGCCTGCGCCAGATGGCATTGAGATCGACTTCTACAGATTAACTTAGTGTTCCATCACGAGATTTGATCACAACTTCTGCCCATTTTTTCCATTATTTCTATAACCCTTGCCAGAACTCTATCACCAATTTCATACTCCTTATTGTTTGTTTGTGGACTTGTTCTGGCGATATTGTACATGTTTATCCTGTTCATTTCGAACATGTTGTCTCAGATCAGGTTTAATGATGTCCTGTCTGGTACGTAGGTTACATCCTAAGAACAATTTCGCTGGTGTCTCATTAGTTAATGCATGAGGAGCGGAGATATTGTAAAAGAAATTTGGAAAGTTTTTGACTTACAATGCCTGGTTCTCCTTGCATGGCATATTACGAATATTTCACTGTTTGCACTAATCTTTCAGCTTGGCCATTTGAAGATGGGCAATTTGGAGCACTAGTAGTATGTCTTACTCCATTTTTCCACATGAATGATTTCATTTCTTGAGATACTAGTTGTGGTCCATTATCAGAAATAGCATGTTCAGGGAGTCCGTACCTGTGAAATAGACTCCTTAATATGTTTATGGTGGATTCACTGGTTGTAGATTTCGTTGGAATAACTTCCAGCCATTTTTCTTGGAGCCGTTGATTTAATTTAAACTGGACGAAATGTCGTTAATGTCTGATATTTGTTACTGGCTGTCAATCTAAGTTAGCGATCCAGAAGATGTGAAGTAATACATTGATCACTTCATGTGTGTTTTGGAATTTTTGGTATAGTTAAAAGACCAAAACTCGCAATTCAAATTGTGATGTGGAAAAATGGCGGACATTTAATTTCAAATTTTATGATTATCACATGACCCATATACATGCAGGGATTTATCTTTGGACGAAGGATTTATCTTTGGACGATACAGTGGCCTTAGAAGAAGGTAAACTGGTAAAAATTAGCCGGGGCTGAATTATAGTAAAATTATTAAGGGATTTATTGTGCTTTTTTTTGTTAGATATGGATGTCAAAAGCAGCTTACTGAAATATGTAGAAATAAATAAGAAACACAATGTTTTGTAATCCAAAAAACTATAAAAATCAAACTTAAAAGTGAAATTAAGGTAACCTAAAGTTCATCAAAAGTACAAAAAATGGCAGCCATATTTCTTTTGGTAAAGTCACAAAATTTTGTATCGGTTTTCCCTTTATGTGAATGCATTTCCTGACTAAAGAGATATGTCAAAGGAATCTTCACATTTAAACGCACTTTTCATAACTATGAATTGGGAGGTGCATGGGTCCCAAAAGCTAGCATCAAGACCATGAAATGAAGCTAATTTTTTGAAAGTTTCAAGGAGAAGCCTTGCAACAGTCACACATTTGCAAGAATCCAAATTTCCTCAAATCATCTTACCTTACCAAGGAACATCGAAGGAGGATGAAAATGTGCACTTCTTGCATTGTTAGAGTATGATAAAGCTCAAACCATAGTTTCTTATAAGTATTTCATGTCCACCATTTTGTTTGCCGTAACGCCATCGCTCACATGGGTAAGATCTCTCACCTTCCTTTGTCTTTAAGTGGTAAATTCAAGGGAATCTTTATGTTTTGATGTCTTCTTTAATTTTTTGTTTATATCACCATGTAGCAACTATTTAAGGGGAATCTGAGTATTCATGCTTCCTTGACATCTATTCACTTAACTTATAAGTGCAGAGTAGAACTGTGTGACTTATTTTTAGAATAGAGAGTGCATTTAGTGCAGAGTAGAATTTAAATGTTAAAGTTTCTTTACCTAATTCTCTAATAATATCACATACACAAACTCCTTTTTTCTGTACTTGTTTTTACAATTTTGCACTTTTATCACATCTTTTGTGGTCTACACAAAATGTTGGATCCTGGCAGGTATATTTTTTATCTTAATATCTATGAGAGCAATGCTCTCCTACATTAGAGCTTGTAACTCTAGATACAAAATTAAAAAATGTCCTTTGTTAACTTATTGACAATATTTTTTATTCTCCATATATTTGCCCCACATACAGACCATGTCTCTTTTTAAGAGCAGACCACATTTGAAATGCTCTATTGAAGTCAAATTCTGCCATCTCAGGACCATTAACCACAATATTCATGAGGTAGTTGATTGTCTCATCCTTTAAAAAATTCCTGAGGTTAAAGAAACCGTGGACACAGATATTTTAATTTTTGAGGTTCTTTTTGTTGGCGACTAAGCCATTGTAACAGTGATACAGACTGTCTGTGATGTGTCAGAGTTTAGAAGAGCAGCATGGACCTGTACATATTGGATAAGGATGAACAAACTGTGATAACATTTCTTGTAATTTATATATAACAATCTCAGAGTCCTAAAATGATTATTGAATTTCAACTTACCTCTACCAATACATAATTTACATTTCCAGGGAATTTCATCAGACTCTGTGAGTACTCTCTCTCCACTCTCATTTTAATGCAGCCTCTGTGAAACCACTGTTCGCATTAGTCACACTCTATCCAGTGATCACCATCTCCAGATTTACACATAGCACAGGTGTCTTCATCAATCAAGTTGGGTGATGCACTCGCATTAGAAACAATTTGCTCAGATTCTGTCTCTCTTGCACGTGTGGAGGAAACTACTGGTACTGGCGAGGGCTTCAGTCTGGCTTTTTAAATTAAATTAATTTCCACCCATTAAAATACTTGTTCTAAAGGCTTCTTTGGAAATAATCTGTCCTTGTGTCTTTCCTAAACTGCTTAAATTGCACTTTGAGCAAACATCTGGTTGTGCAGAAAAGAATATTCTGAGAAATTATTTCCTCAACATTTTTAAACATCTCCATGAGATTTGACCTAAATTCTTTAAACAGCAGTGTTTGAATTCCTGTAAATTTGTAACACTGCAGTTTGTAACAATTCACAGAATCAACAGTGTGAAATATCACTGAAGAGCTGGTATGTATCATCGCTGATGTAGTATTGTTTTCTTTCATCCTGAATGTTCCAAGATAATTGATACAGCTATCAATTCGTCGTGATCAACTCTAAATTTCTCTAACACAAATTTAAATTCCTTATGATTTGTTTCATATACTTCCTTGTTATGGGGATCCATTTTGCAGACATAATCATTTGCCAGCTGCATGTTTTTGCATGTTTTTAAAATACCATGCCAGTCACATACCAGATTTTCCCCTCACTCTCTGTCAGTCTTCTTTGCTGATGATTTCCTGGAAAACATAATTTCAGGAAATTATTCACTTTCCTTCACCTGAAACTTAAGCAATCCATGTACTACCCTTCCACAAAGGCATCTGAATTCAACACTGCTGCCAATCTGTCGATCAGCAAAGGATCTGCATTCCTCCAAAAGGAACATTATGGCTCTCTTTACATATTCTTGCTGCATTGTTTATCTTGTTGAAAACCTCAACACTTATCATGGAAATTTCATCCAATATAAGTACATCAGTTTTGCTAACACGCTCTTTGTGAATTTTCTGCAAACCTCATAAATGTTTGGATGAAAAATCATCACCACAGGCAGTTGCAGCAACCATGGAAACATGGAAATCTGGGTAACTTGCTCGGCAAATGCAGATTTTCAGACTATCTTGCTTTAAGACAGCTTTATTCACACTATATAACTTGAAATGGGTTCATCCACAGGTAACAATTGCCAACTTTCAATTTTGTATTAACTGTGGATTGAAAATAATACACAAATAATGTTGAAATCACCATCTTAAGAAGTCGTACTTATGAACCTGTGAATTTATATTTGGATTACTACAATACTTCACCTGGGCCTATGAGGATTACTTAAATATTGAGTTGAGATATTATTGGAAAGTTCATGTGACTATTTACATCCCAGGAACACAAAAATTGGCAGTTATGTATGTAATGAATGAAATAAGGCACAATTGTTCTGAACAAACTGCTGGGTGATTTCTTCATGAGCATACTGCCTTCACTGTCATGTTTGGTTAACGAGTGGGGTACACAATATGTTTAGTAAAAGTTTAAATTGAAATTTCCTAGCAGTCACAAAAAAGTTCATTTGATAATGTTGTTAGCACTAACATAATATAATGTTAGCCAGTAGTGTTGAAAAGCAATTTTATAAAGACAAATAACCAAACAACAACTTTTGTCATAGAAATGTGAAATACATGATGAGTTTTTGAAGTGCTCCTGAAATTTCTGAAATATTAGTTTCATCCTGAGAGATAAAATTAAGCATTCTCCTCTGGCGAGTCTACAAAGATCATCCCTAAGTTTACGCCAAAAAATATTGTTCTCAACCACAATATATTGATGCAAGAGATCTTCATACACTGGACGCATTTCAGTGGCAGTTGTAGCAATGTCATTCATAATAAATTTAATGACAGTTCAAGATTGCATAATTTTTACTTACCTGTTGAAAAGTGTCACAATTTTTTTTGTTGGTTTCTCCCTGTAGTATAAAGTACCTTGTATCTGTAGACACCATGAGGATTCCATAAGTGTTCCTCCTTTTGTCCATGTTCCGTAACTGAATAGGACATTGCCATCTTGGTCCAATCCTTTCATAGAATGGGTCCCGGGGTCTCTTACGACTCCATTGCATTTCTACTGAAGGACTTCCTTCTCTTACCACCAAAATATTGCATTTCAGCTCTTTGGCCATATATCAAGGGAACAAGAGTGTTCATATTGCATTTTTTCATTTATTTATACATGAAATAAATATATAATTACTTTACAACACATTTCATGTGGATTGTTTAAAAGCTTGACAAATTGTTCATAGAGGGCTGTATTTTTTTAATAATTGTGCTTCCGCAACTTCAAATAGATTTCCTCTGTGAAGCAATAATGCTTATTTAGTGTGTAGCTCACTGACACATTTCTTAACTTTAATAAAAAAATTTAAAACTTAATCAGTCACATTCGACCTTCCTTTGTCTTTTAGTTGTGAAATCCAGGGAATCTCAGTGTCAAAGTTATAATTTGTTAACATCACCATGTAACATTTGTATGATGTGAATTCTAGCATTCACACTTTCACTAGGGCACCTTTTCACTTGCTTATATAACTTCTTCCTTGTCATGGCAAGAGCTCCGCCAGTCAAGTACCCAACACTACCTTCCCCCCGTTTCTTTACATTGTATTTGTTTGGTTTAGGTTGGCAGCTACTTGAAGATATGTACACTCGTACAAGTCCAGTACCTTGAAAATAAGTCTTGCAAAAATCTGCTGATGACCGTCTATGAATTTAATGTTTGGTTCTATCAAATGTTTCATATGCTCTTGGCTGCACATGGGATTGACCTACATTGAAACATCAGAGTCCATATCTGATGGCCATGGCTTTGACACTTTGGGATTGGTAGCTGCGACACCTTCAACTATTGTGTGAATACTATTCCATATGGACTGAGAGACCTGTCTCAGTTTGGTACCTCCATTCCTCAGCATTTTATTGATGTTCCTATTCTTCTCCAATTGATTTTGCGTGACATTTCCTCTGTGTCGCGATAGTGCTATTTTTACTGTGTAGCTCTCTTCAAACTCCAAAATGTCATCGCTCACATGTGTAAGAGCTCCTACGATGAGAACAATTAGTTATGAGTGGTATAAGCTGGTGCGATCAGGGAGAGGAAAACGCAGCTATGCAGTACAAGAGAGGATGTGAGATCTAGGATTTGTCACGAGGTAGGTAGACACAGATCAAAAGTGTGTCTTGTTGGTTGAAACAGTGAAATATCATTCTTTCTCCTATTCTCTCTCAATATTTCCTTATTATTCATATGGCAGTCTGTCTGATTTTCAAGTTGCTGCCATTCATTGCAGTGTTCTTTAAATTTGAGTAGGCATTTTAGGGATGTGATTGGTGATTGGTAGCAAAATACTCTTATTTGGAAAAGATATACTTTTTTCACTTGTTTTGTCTCCTTTCCAATAAATCGCTTTTCAAAAGCTGACAACCACATCTTTTCCTCAATATCACAGTCCAGGTTTGGGATTGGTCGAATCTCTTGTTGCAGTTCTTCTTCAGCCTGGCCCTTTGGTGACATAGGCAGGATGCCAAATTTGTCCCCGAGACATTGTTCCAGGGGTTGTCTCTTTTTGGGATAACATACTCCTTCCTGGACATATACCTGGCCACTGTTTGGATGGGTCCCTTCCTCTTCCCTGGCTTGGAGGGAGGGGTCAGCACTTCTTCCCGGGGAGGGGAACTACAGGCAGGCGCCACATCAACATGTACCAGAGGGGGGTCGGAGGCAGTGCACGCCTCTGTCTGAGTTGCAGCGTGCTTCTCGGGGATAACTTCTGTCATTTTGATGCCCAAGTTTGTCTAAGTTTAACCAACGTTTCTGATGCTTTCTCCTGGCAAGCGACCCCCATGGCCCCCTTCTAGTGCCTGTAGCTCCGCTGGCGCCAGCGATTTGACAGCGTCATCAATGATAGGTTGGCCAAGGGACAACATTACCGCTGGTGGTGGCGTAGGTTATCAATCACTCTCTGCATCTTCTGGATCCAATTACTTCGGCAAGCTCAACTCGACCAGAGACTCCCAGAACATCTCTGAAGGAGGGGTACTATCAATCTCTTGAGTTGCGACTGTTTTATATCACACCTCTTGGGATGAGATGTCACGACTCTCATAGTGGCGTTGTTTGATTTCTTGTGGGTAACCGTCCTCTGGTGTCTGTTCAAGGCTCCCTCTGTTCGAATTGGCGTCTGCACCTCTTCCTGCTGGGACGTCTCTTCATACATTGGAAGTTGGGAACGGTATTCTCCTGGAAGGAGTGGGCAAGAATTACTGATGGTAAAAAAGATCAACCTAGGATTAAGAAAGGTCATATGGGTCAAGCCATTTGGGGGGTCTTCTCGGGCGTTGTGACTGCGTAGGTATAGAATCGGAAGATAAGAGGAAGAGGATCCAACTCCGAGAGAATATCTGGGTGTGACATTGGAACATCTATATGGTCATTGTGAACGACAGGGACTTTTTTTTGAGGGACTTGTGAAGTTTGACCTTGACTCAATTTCAACGTCAGACATCCAATCAGGCAATGCCCCTGCAAAAGGCTTGATTCTGTTGACATGAACTACTTTGACTTTCCCACCTTCACTCTGTAATACCACTAAAACATTGGACAATACTTCCAAGACCTTGAATTTGCCTTTCCAAGGGTTCAAGAATTTAGGGGTTCTCCTGACCTTGACCACAGGGACATGCAATCAAATTCGTAGACCTAGGGGACCTAGAGGACCCAAAAGCAAATATGGCTCTCTACCAAACATTAGCATTGCTTGGGAAAACCCTTTTGATTCATGAACTGCAGACCTAATAGCAGCCATCACAAAAGGTAAGTGCAAATCCCAATCCCTATGGGTCGGGGAGACTATTTTTGCGAGCATGTCTTCGAGTGTATGATTAAATCGTTCCACCATACCATCCAACTTCGCATAGAAAGGGGTAGTTTGCATCTTGGTGATGTCTAAAATATCGCACAATTCTTGAAATAAATTAGATTCAAATTATACATACAGAGCACGTCTCCTTTTAAGAGCAGACCATATTTGAAATGCTTTATTGAAGTCAAATTCCAGCATCTCGGGACCATTAACCACAATGTTCATGAGGTAGTTGATTGTATCCTCCTAAAGAATTCCTGAGGTTAATAAAACCGTGGGCACAGATATTTTATTTTTTTGTTGGTGACTAAGCCATTATAACATTGATACAGACTTTCTGTGATGTGTATGAACAAACTTTGATAAATTTTCTTGTAATTGATATATAACAGCCTCAAGAGTCATATCTGGATTATTATTATCAAGTTCTAAAGGGATTAATTGTGCTTTTGCTGTATAGAGGTCAGAAGCAGCTTAAATGTAGAAATATAATCCAAAAATGTGAAATAAAATGTTACAAATGTTGAGAAATAAGTTGGAAGAATTTAGGTTGAATAGATACAGCTTTAACCTTTATTCATCTTGTTTCTAAAGATCTTCCCAAGAAAGAGAATTTCTGTTCTGTTCTGAAAAATAAAATGTGAGACATAGACTAATTGAAAAAAGCAGGCAGATGATCAAACCATGATCACTCTAAAATTGGCCAGATTTGATCACATGACCAGATATGAGCCAATGAAAAAATATTAAGCTCTTGGTTTCTATCTAAGAAGATAATCAAGATCGAACAAATCATCTCTGCTGAAAAAGCTATTCTCTGAATTGGTGTTATCACTCAAAGAATCGGCAAAGAGTGCCTCAATGCTTTTGTAATTTTTTGAATGTCTCGCATTGATTTAGACTTTAAAATGGTCAAAACAATTCAACTTTCTTGAGAGGTTAGATTAATTACTTTTCAATATATTGCAAGGGAAACATGGGATACTGAGGAGTTTGCTTGTCCCGCCAAATAAAATATGCCTCACTAACTTTCAGGACTTGGCCATGCACGGATATATGGATACTCTATTCACATAAAATGATAATGTTTTACAGACAATATCTTATGATTAGCAATGCCACACTCTTCCATATTCCATATTGGAAACATACTTTTGTCTAATATTGAATTTCAACTTACCTCTACCAATACATAATTCACATTTCCAGGGAATTTTACCAGACTCTGTGAGTACTCTCTCCACTCTCATTTTAATGCAGCCTCTGTGAAAACACCATTCGCATTAGTCACACTCTATCCAGTGATCACCATCTCCAGAAGAGCTGGTTTGTATCATCACTGATGTGGTATAAATTGTGACTTGCATTTTGTTTTCATTCATCCTAAATGTTTCAAGATAATTAATACAGCTATCAATTTGTCGTAATTAACTCTCAATTTTTCTAACACAAATTTAAATTCCTTATGATTTGTTTCATATACTTCCTTGTTATAGGGATCCATTTTGTAGACATTATCATTTGCCAGCTGCATGTTTTTGCATGTTGTTAAAACCATGCTATTCACATACCAGATTTTCCCCTCACTCTCTGGCACACTTGTCAGTCCAGTTTGTGTCAGTTTCAATTTCTTTGCTGATTTTTTGATTACCTGGAAAATATAATTTCAGGAAATTGTTATGAGTAGAGAAAATACAATGCAGATAATTTCAAGTTCATGGGTATTTGGATTATGGAATACATGTACAGATAAACTTTGATGGAGAAGGAATGCCAGGGAAAGTTTATCATCACAAGGTATGGAGTGATCATGCACCAATCACAATTATTCACTTATCTTAACATGGAACTTAACATGGAAGCAATTCATGTACTACCCTTCCACAAAGGCACCTGAATTCATCAATGTTGTCAAGCTGTCTATCAGTAAAAGATCTGCATTCCTCCAAAGGGAACATCATGGCTCTCTTTACATATTCTTGTTGCATTGTTTATCTGGTTGAAAACCTCAACACTTATCATGGAAATTTCATCCAATATACAGGGTGGGCCAAAAAATTTTGCAACTTTTAAAAGGCTGGAAAAGTATCAAAACATAAGGGTATTGCCATGAAAAATTATTTACAGAAACTTAAGGATAGGCATATTTTACCAGTCAAATGCTAAAGCTAAAACTGGCTTCAAATTTTTTTGTCAGATCTTTGAATATCAATTGTCAGTTGTTCATGTGTCCGAGATTTACCATTTTTCCTAGAAAATGTGACTTTCTATGATTTTATGTGATCAACAATAACACATTCATAATGTTCACTATATCTTGGATAACTGTTTAAACAATGTCTACCTCAATGTCTAGTTTATATCAGTATCTAGTCACTATGGTTTTATGTTATATTGTATTTATTAATTATCTATTAAACAAATACTCTATGCATCCCCCTTTCACCTTCCCTATCGCTCCCAGCCATCGGGCAAAAGTCACTTTGGAGTATCTGGAGGAGAATAAGCCTTGATTCATTACTTAGTCCTGGTGAATGGCTACCAAATACCCCAGATGCCAACTCCTTTGACTATCACCATTGGGGGCACCTGGAGCAGCTTATTGCAGTCAATGGTAATCCCCCACAAACTATTGTTAAACTAAAAGAAGTTTAAAAAAGAAGGAAAATTAAAGTGGAGAGAACTAACACAAGAATCACTGGATCGCGCCATTGACCAGTTCCGCTCATGTCTCCTTGCGTGCTGTAGAGAAGGTGAAAGGTGGATGCATAAATTTTTTTAATAAATAATCAATAGATACATAATATCATAGTGACTAGATACTGATATAAACTGTACTAGACATTGGTTTAAGTTATCCAAGATTGTAACAGATTTAGTGAACATAATGAATGTGTTATTGTTGATCACATGAATGAAACATTTTCTAGGAAAAACGGTGAATCTCGGACACATGAACAATTGACCATTGATATTCAAAGATCTGATAAAAAAAATTGAAGTCTAGTTTAGCTTTAGTATTTAAATGGTAAAATATGCCTATCCTTAAGTTTCTGTAAATAATTTTATATGGCAATACCCTTATGTTTTGATTCTTTTCTAACCTTTTAAAAAAGTTGCAAAATTTTTTGGCCTACCCTGTAAGTACATCAGTTTTGCGAACACGCTTTTTGTGATATTTTTGCAATCCTCATAAATGTTGGGATGAAAAATGAAAATTGGTTGAGGTATGGAGTGATCATGCACCAATCACAATTATTCACTTATCTTAACATGAAACTTAAGCAATTCATGCACTACCCTTCCACAAAGGCATCTGAATTCATCACTGTTGTCAATCTGTCTATTAGCGAAAGATCTGCTTTCCTCCTAAGGGAACATCATGGCTCTCTTTACATATTCTTGCTGCATTGTCAGAGCCGTCACTGGCCATGATATAAGGTAGCATCAATTTTTGTAATTTGTTCATTACAAACGTGTTCGTTGTTACAATTCTCTCTGAAAGTTAGAAATAAGAACATGACATCTACAAAGCTCAATAATCCATGCAATTTATATAACCCTTCCAATCCGTATTACCCATGTGACTGCATATAATCAAAATAATCCCATGATCATCCAACAATTAATCAATTATGAG